TGCTCCAGGTGTTATGCTAACGGCAGCGAGTGCTTGAGCAGAATAACTATAACCGCCGTCGAAATTAGCCGAGCTTGGCATACTCGTATCACCTATGCCGTTGTTATTATAAACTTGTGAAAGAGCTAATTGCAACTCAAGGGGACATGTTGCTAAAGAACCAAAACAGAACCCCATGTCAACTTTCATCTGTAGAGAAAAGGAGAAACACATCGACGGCCAAAAGCGACCGTTTCAAATCCAAAACTACCTTTCTTGTCCTGCGAAAAAAGGATAACAACGACTTACATTCTTCATACAGAAACTACCATTATCCTTCACGATATTTTCATTAAACACATGTATTCTAAGTTCTGGGAGAAAGAAATAGTGTTTACCAGAACGAAGACCAAAAGTGGTGTTCATATCGCTTGTGAATTATAAATTCTTGAGAATATTTCCGTATCTATTTTACCTTGGCAGTTTCCGACCGTTCCATTGCCAGTAAATCCCGCATTACAGGTACACGTGACACTATAACCGGGTAATGAATGAGAACACGTTGCATTGGTATCACAACCGCCATTATTCACATGACAGCTGTCTGAAAGCAAAGTAGAAAGGTGTGATTATCTCAAAATAAACATCCCTTGCTATGGAAAAATCCGTACGCGATTTGCCAGAGAACGGCAGGAGGATATAGACAATTCTCTTCTGCAGGACAATTTCACAAACAGCCGTACACATAGTCGATTTTTTTGCCTTCAAATCTAGTAATCGTTTGTAACATATATTCAGCTCAACATTTAGATAGAATAATAAAGATGCAAAGACAGTTGTCTAAGGATATGATTGTCATGATTGTGACAGAATGTATATTGATCAGACTTGTCGAGCAATCTGTAAACGAGGGAGTGAATATAAAAAAGCCTCTGTTGGGCACGGCTTTTCGAGAATTGCTCAACATTGATTCCAAAAGGGACATAATAATAATTGGAATCCAGAAGTGTTGGTGATTGAATCTAATGCAACAAAATGACTAATAAAAGCGAGTATATCAATGGACTTGTTTCGTGTAAAAAAGGGAAAGACGTATATCCTCAAAATAGCTTTCAGTTAAAACGTGAGAATTGCAGTGGAGATGTGAGGATCTGAAAATAAATATCCCTTGCTATGGGAACATCCGTACGCGACTTTTACTGCGGGGGTGCAGTGAGAAGAACGACAGCCATTCTTCATACAATCACTACTATCTTACAGCATATTTCGATGAAACACATGCATGTTCACTTATGATAGAACGAAATAGCCCTTTCCAAAAGCCAAACGTAAGTGGTGTAAAGTGGTGCTTTTGCTTTGAATTGCAAAACTATGACAATGTGTCCGTATATGTTTTACCTTGGCAGTTACCGACTGTTCCATTGCCAGTAAATCCCGTATTACAAGTACACGTGACACTATAATCGGATAATGAATGAGAACACGTTGCATTGGTATCACAACCGCCATTATTCACATG